CCCACGGATTTCTAGGTTCCTTCCACAAAAAGGAACTAACTGATATAGGGTGTTTTAGGGAAACTCCTGCAGACATCAGAAATACCCCTGACCAAAACAGGTGTATTACACCCAAAACAGGGTGTAAACTAGCAGAGCCTGCAAAAAACATTTCTCTTCTTTATCTGCTACCAATTCATAATACCTCCTCACATCCTGTTTGGGGGGGGGGGATGATAATGAACACAATGAATCAATAAATCATGGCCAGGGCCGCAATATTCAGGACAGATTAAAAGCCTCCCAGGATGGACAAAAACATGGATTAGGTTTTCCGTACCCATGGACTGTTGCCTTCCCCCATACCCTGCATTTAAACACTGTGGCTGTACTCTTGAGTTTCTAGCAAAACAACATAAAGGTTAGGTTTGGGGATCCCACGCACATATACATTTAGAACTATGCATCATCTACTTAACTCTGTAGAGTTGACATCTGAAAGCCAGTACATCCTATTTTTACAAAAACATCCTGTAAGTATGTAGGCACAAGGGCTTTAAAAAAGCAACTCCCCCCCAACAACAAAGAAACCCGTTAACTGAGATTATCTCGGAATCCTTCCTTTTTTTTAACTCAAAATAGCAGAGACTGGAAGGCAGAGAGGATGTTCACAAAGGTGCTAGGCAAAGACTGGCTGTCACTGTACGCTTTGGGGCATTTTTGTTACAAAGAACACGTATCATTCTTACACAGAGAGGGCATTTTAATTTTGAAATCAATCCATCAGTCAACAGCAAGCTGGTCTGCACGGCCCACACAGACGGCCCGTGACCAGCTGGGCTCAAGCTCTCCCCGACCAATTTCGGGTTTGCAACTTTACTGTCGGGTGTTGCGGGGAGCGGGTGTGGGAAGCCGGGCCGATTGGGGAGTCGCTGCGTCCAGCCCGGCCCGGCCCCGCCCCTGCCCCTGTCCCGGTTCGGCCCCACTTCCTCCCACGGCCGCGCGGCCTGCCGGCAGCGCCCGGGCCCGGTCCGCGGGGACCGCCGGAAGACGAAGGCGAAGGTGGCACCGCTGGCCTTGCCTTCCCCTCCCCGCCCTCCTCCGCGTCCGGACTCACCGGCAGCTCCGGCCGCCGCTCCCTCCGCCTGCAGCCGCATCGCCCCGGGGACTCGCTTTCCTCGCTGGCTCCTTCCGCCCAGTCACCGACTGCGGAGCTAGAGCAGTTTGAAAATGGCGCGGAGAGACTATCGGGGCCGGCACGGAGGAGGCGCCGCGGTTGCCCCGGTAACGGGAGCGGCGGACAAGGCTCGGCGCTACGCGCAACGAAGGCGCGCCCGGAGGCGAGGGCGGCGCTGGGCCCCGGTGTCCGGAAACGCAACGGCCCTGACGGCGCGAGGCCACGGCGCCCCCTGGCGGCCGGCGGCCGCGGCCAGCAAACCCCGAACCTCAGCGGCCGCCCGATCTGGCATCCTGTCAGGCGGGGTGTGGATCACCCATTGTGCGGGATGAAAACGCTGCCCCAGTCGGGGTCCCTGCAGTGGATTAGCTTTCACCTGCAAGGTGAGCGCCTGCTCGCCGTGTAACCCCCAGCGCAGACATCGCGTTGTCTTTGCAACTTTGCCTGACAACCGCCCAGTACAATTAACTGTTGCCCCACAGGCTGCGTGTGGAACCGTCGAATGGAATTCATCCATCAAAACATAATTACTTGTTTATATGTCTCTCTCTGCCGCCCCCAACTGTGAATTCCTTGAGTCAGAGATTATTTTACTTAGCTATGTCTCTAGCACCTACCACAATAAACATTTGTGAATGGAATTAAAATAAACTGTGTATAGAGAGTCTGCTCGCAGATGGAAAACACATAGTCATGTACTGTTACCCAAACTTGTTAAGATGCTTAGTTATTTCTGAGCTTTTTCGATAAGATTGCCTCTGATTAAAACAGAACAGAGATTAAATTATGAGCACATTATTTACAGTTTCCTTTTAACTGCTTCCTATATAAGTGCTTCATACATAAGTGACCTTACACTGCATAATAGAATGAGGCGATTGGATGATGACAGGGCATTTCATCAAGGCTT